AGATTTCATTTTGAAAAGTCAAAAATTTCAAGACTTAGAATTTTTCTAAGTGTTGAAAATTTACAATTTTTTCACAACTTTGAGTCAAATTTACACCATGATGCAAGATGATTTAAAGGAAACTTCCAACATGAAAGTTGTAGATCTCAATAAGATATAAAACATTGTATAACACAACTTCTTCTATAAATTCATGGATTTCAAGTTATGAGCTTAAGAAGACATGTTCATGAAACTTGAAAACTTAGTGAAATTTTGCCCTAATTTAGGCAGGATTTTGACCTAACTTCATGGAAAATTTTCACATAATTCCAAGATTAATATTCAAAAATGACCAACATAGAGGTTGTAGAGGATGCTACAAGCTTTCCAAAATGTCCAAGAACTAATTGAGATCATACTTGAGCAAGGAGAATCGAAGGCAAGAAGTTAGGGTTTCATTCTTGAATTACAAGTCATTTCTTGATGAACACTAGATTCAATCTCAATGCTAGGCTGCATAATCTTTGCTTTGCAGGTCTCAAACTTGTTTGTCACTCCATAATTAATGTTTTGCACAACTACTAGAAGCTTTAATCCAAGCATTCAATGCATTACCCATGCTTAATACCATTTTAGGAAGAAATGCAACATTGCCATTTTGGAAAAATGGCTTTATGCACAAAGTCCACTCTTCTTGAGCCTATAACTTGTTGTTCTGAACACACACAACATGTATGCTCAGAAGCAACACGTTTAAAGCTTCTAAGCCACCCTATGAGCCAGGTACTTGTGCATTGGAACCACATTTCTCAAGCTTTCTTCAAAATCAAGCAAAAAGCCACAAAGATGTGATTTTGAATTATGATCAAAGATAAGCTTCCAAACTTGTTGCTTATATATAGAGGCACTATTTGTGAGCTAACACACGAGCATTAACACCCTGAAACACTCCCAAATTCCCTCAAGCCAGAAATTATCCAAAAACACCATTGTTGCACAGGTTCTGACCTTGAACTTGCAGCTCATATTTCCCTCGTGCGTTTCTTGGCTTTTCACTTCCTAAAGCTTCCTTACATCAAATACAACTCATCCACATCCTTATTCTAGAACTGCAACACAATTTACCATAACCTCCATAACTAAAAAATAGGGTCTACACATTGACTTCTCCAAGCCATTCCAGCCATCCATTGCTTAAGCTAATCATTTCATTAGCTTCCAGGGAACTTGAGGAAGCTAACCTGATCATCACAACACCTTGAATCAAGCTCTAATTCAAAACACGATCTCCAGCTGCAAGGTGAGTTTTTTGAATTTTCATCTAATTATTTAGGCATTATTAGGCTTGCATTTTCAAAGACAAAATGTAGATATCATTACCTTGAAACTGTACATGTCCATAAATTTCATTTATATTGCTTAAGTAGTGAGAATTTTAAGTTTGAACTTGCTGAAATAATTAGGTCAAAATTTGGTACTTTTAGAAATTCTCATTCATCTTTGATTTATAGCTTTAGTTATTTATACGGTTGAATTCATGAGAAAAAATGGAACAACTTTCATGTTGGCATATTTCATTTTTGTTGAGAAATAGTGAAGTTACAGGATCCATGACTGGAGGTTGAAGATGAAGTTACATTTAGGACATAACTTGTGTTATGTATTTATTGTTTTGTCAATGTTACCAGATGTACAACCACCCCAGTGACAAAGGTAGCGCGCATGCGTATTGGAGGTCATGGGTTCAACACCCAGCGCTACCTTTTGTGAAATTTTTCAATATTTTTTCATTCTTTTTGTTCCAGCTACAGGCGCCTGAGCCTCAACATTGGACCTTCCCTTTTTTTACTTTCTCTAACCCCTGTTTTACTTTTGCACCTAACCCAACTTTATTTTATTTATCTCATTTTTATTTATTTCTTTTTCTTATTTTATTTTATTTCAGTTTTATTTTATTATTTTTTATTACTATTATTATTATTATTATTATTATTATTATTATTATTATTATTATTATTATTATTATTATTATTAAAAAATATAAAAATATTTTTGTTTATTATTTACACTTATATATTTTATTTTCTTTATAAAACAAAAAAAGATAAAAAAACATTTTCTTAAACAAATTAATTTCTTTTTCTTAAAAAATTAATATTTAGACTTAGGTTTAATTGTTATTTTATTTTCTTTTAAATCAAAATTATCTTAGAATTTAGGTTTCTTTTAATTAATTAATTTTTATATTATTTTCATTAATTTAAAACCTTTTCATAAAAAACCCTAAAAAATGTTTTAACTTAATTTCTTTCTTATTTAGTTTAAGTTTAAGTTTTGCTTAATTTTAATTAATCATTTTCTTTAATTAGGTTAAAACCATTTCATGAAAACAAAAAAATTATTTCTTTGTCCATTTACATTCTTGCATTATTTTCTTTTCAATTCTTGTACAATATTCAATATAGTTGTAATCGATAGTTAGGTTTAATTTTCTTGCAAATCCCCATTTGTAAATTTATATACCCCTCCCCTAGTGATGTAATAGCTTAGTAATTTTACTTTCTGCAATTTATTGCTTTATATAAATGCTAGTAATTAGAGTTTGTATGGCAAGACTAAAACTAACAAATAGCAAACCCTAATTCAAGACAAAACAATGCATGTAAATCCAATACACTTGCACACTTGCACTCTTAGGGTAATTCCACGTTGTTGCCTTATAAAATGGCCATGTTATGCATGTGGGATATCTTAGCAAAAAGCAATAAAAAATATAAGATCATAGTCCCTCGGTGACACTATCAATGTTGCCTTTCCAAATGATCTTAGTCCCTCAAAGAAAAATGCTAAGATATCTTACAACATTTCTATCATAGCTATACAATGACCCACGCCCGTCCCTTTACATCCAAAGATAAGGCTTCTTACCAAATCAATGGTAAGTTAGCAATATCAAATGAAAGGAAGAAATGAACTAAAGACTTTTGAGTAGGTAAATTATTCCTAGTTGCTTGCTCATTTTCAAAACAAACATCCTTGCTTATTTTCAAAACAAACACCTAACACTTTCAAAAACACTTTCAAAATATTTTCTAAACATGAAATATTTTCAAAAATCCAACACTTTGTATACGTTCTTACGAACGAGAACTATTACAAAGTTTGCCTAAACGAAGACGCCTTTTCAAAATACTTTCAAAAACCACACAAAACACATTTTCAAATAAAAGTAAGTGATCTAGCAAGTAACTAAGAGCCCATAGATAACTATGGATGAAAAGGGTGCTAATACCTTCCCTTTCCATAATCTACCCCCCGAACTCAAGAAATAATCTCAAAGGTCTTTCCTGTTCTTTTCAGCCTTTCCTTTTGGATAAAAGAAAAGTCGGTGGCGACTCTTGCTAACCGAAACATTTGCGATAAAACGCAAAACACCCAAGTCAGTTCTCCCACCGTATCATAATAGTTATAAGTTTTTCCGAGCTTATTTGATTTTTGGTTAGTTGTGCTCTAAAAGTAAGAATATAAACTCACTGCTATGTAGAAGGTCGTATAAAGCTTTTCCGATTTCCAAACAGACACACGGAAGCTTATGTACGTAGATACACTCGTTCAGTCGTTTCCTTCAATTTTTGCACCCAATTTTTCACTTGACTTTCTGCTTCAATAATTTCAATTGAATGTAAAACAATAAAAGTGAAAAGCGAACCTCAAATTTATGAGCAGAGTTGGCGTCTTCTTTGTTGGAGGATGATATTTTTGAAACGGGAAGAGAATTGGAAAGGATATCAACAACCACTGCGTCTTATCAAAACTGTTGAATATCTATCATTGTCTTACATCACAATAGGGGTTTTTATAAATAACCCTAATATGAAAATATGGTCGAAAATGCTCTTTTTAGGACATAGATTTTGCATATCCAAGCAAAACATTAAAAATGAAAATATTAGGGTTTCATAAATATGAAAATAGGTAATGTAAACAAAATTGAAAACTTGTAAGAAACTTATTATTACCTAATTAAGCAATAACAAACTTCATATTCTTGATTGATCATCCAGATCCGCATAACACCACAACCACCACACACTCTGAAGAAAAATCACCTCCCTTGACAAAATTCGACCATCACCTTCTCGTCACCACTCGAAAATCAGCTTCTCAAACCGTCATCACCTCTGAACTTCCTGAAAGGAAGCAAACGAGAAAGAAGGAAGAAGAAGAGAAAGAATGAAGCTTTTGTAGAGTGAGAGAAAGAACACGTAAGGGAGAAATGACGTGTGAGAAAGAGAGAGAAAGGACGTGAGAGAAAGATAGAGTCAAACTAAAGTTTAAATTGATCACAAAAGAAAAGAAACTCAATAATTGACATTTGATTGAAATTGAATCGTGTTTTAAAAAAACAAAATATAATTAATATAATTGACATTTGATAGTTATATTTGACTATTAAATTACCTTACAGATATATCTAATCATCATGAATAGCTAGTAATTAATAAAATAATTAATTAAATATTAAAAAACTACATAAAAATAATTATAGAAATATTTCTATTAATAATATTTTTTAAAATAACATAGTACACTCTAAAAATTTGACACTTTCCAAACTTTTCAAAGAACTTATTTTGTTTTATTCTATTTAATAGATTTTTAATCCAACTTCTAAAAGAGCATAGCAAAACCCTTCTAAAAACCAGAAAATAAACTTAAAAGAAAAGATGAAAGTGTAGTATTTTTTTATTCTAGATTTCACCACATCCATCTAGGGTTTTTACATCACAGAAAAAAAACGTCTACCACTACTTGTCAACAAACGTGGCATAAGCACTTACGTACGCTATTCCTTCTACTTCCTCCTATTCGCCGTTCTCTCTAATTTTCCCTCCCACACATTCGCAACCCAATTCATTTCATTTTCTTCTCCCTTTTATTAGTATAAGCTATTTAATTTAATCGATTAATAAAAAAAGCAAAACCAATTTAATCGCTTAATTGGTCGTTTAACAGAAATGGTGGATTCAGACCGAATCCAAAACCCATGGATGGCGTCGGAACAAACCCCAATGGAACTCAACAACGCTTCTCCTCCGTTGAAACCATCAAATAGTGATAAATTAGGGATTGCTGAACGCGCTTTCTCTGCCGCCGGCGCCGCTGTTCTCTCCGCCGTCATTGTTAACCCCCTTGATGTTGCCAAGGTCCGCTCTTTCTTATTCACAATTACTCAATCGTGTTTTTTAGTTTTTGATATGCGGTTTTCATTCTGGTGTGTTTTGATTTGTGTTTCTGGATTGATCAGACAAGGTTGCAAGCACAAGCTGCTGGAGTTGCTTATTCTCATCCACTCAGTAATTTGATCAGCAGAATGTCTTGTTTTGGCCCTAATATGGTATGTTTGGACCTTATTTGAAGCCAACCTAGTTCTATATTAACATGCAGAAACAAAATCCTATACTTTTGGAAGGGTAATTGTGCAAAAAATTTGACCTTTCTGATACTTTTTTCAGATGTTTGCCGATTTAAGATGTTCTCCATCGTGTACCCGGGCGGGATTCCATGGCACTGTATCACTTTGTCCTCCTGATTGTTTTCGATACAAAGGAACACTAGATGTCATGTATAAAATTACTCAACAGGTTGGCAGTTTAATATTATAAAATATTGGTATTGGACTGATTAAAACAATACACATACATTGTTAACTAATGGCAGAGTGGTATTTATTTCAGGAAGGATTTACTAGGCTATGGAGAGGCACTAACGCAGGACTCGCACTTGCAGTACCAACTGTAGGTTCACAAGCCAATTAACTGTGTTTTTACTGTTGAGTATTAGATTTTGCATAATGAGAGCGCGTGAATTGGCTAATGTATTCTTTAATTGGCTTAAATCAGGTTGGAATTTACCTTCCTTGTTATGACATATTTCGTAACTGGTTTGAGGAATACACAGCCAAAAATGCTCCTGTTGCAACTACATATGTACCTTTAGTGGCTGGTTCGTTGGCACGCTCACTGGCTTGTGCAACTTGTTATCCTATTGAACTTGCCAAAACTCGCATGCAGGTATTTAATTAAGATTATCTCGATTATGTTATTTTCTGCTTGAAGTACAATCTTGTTCAAGTCACAATTATGTTCCATGCTTTTTTGGATCTATGTTGTAATTGTGCAAGTTATCCAGCAGTTCAAAGTGAATTTTAGCCTGACAATTGCTCCCAACTGGTTTGGAGAATGCATGGTTTATTTATTTCCTATTTATTTCACAAGTACCAAGTCACTGATGCCATGATTTATCACAAGTCGATTCCAATTGGCAGCATTGTATTCCAATTACGATTATGACTATGGTCATGGGTCATGGCTTATAGTTAAAGAACTGCATTGTTTTTACCCTAACTTGTTTGTCCCCCAGAGTTATTTCTGTTATTTTATTTACTTCTGTTCATGTGCTTTGATTTCTTCTTTATTCAACTGGTGATCATGCTGGTATTGCTTTGGATTTGAATTGGTGCGGCAATGATGTTTTTCATTTTTTATTCTTCCTAGTCAGTGGATTTTTGAAAATACTGGTTACTATATTGTGTTATCCAGCTACATTTCTTATTCACAATATGGATTCTTACTGGTTTTTGGATCTTTGGTTTTTGTAGGCATTTAAAGAGACTCAAATCGGTAAAAAGCCACCTGGAGTATACCAAACTTTGCTAGGTGTTGTCTCTAATGTCAAGGGCACAAGTAATTCACCAAACAGCTGTAAGTGCGCAGCTTTTGCGGCAACAGAACACCTAATACAAATAAATGTACATTCAAAGGAGTATGTAGGGGTGGCAAACGGGCATGTCAGCCCCGCAAATGCTAAAATAATGGGGCGGGGCGAGCGGACAAAATTGAGGCTGCAGGCAAGGTTTTAAAAAACGGTCGCGTCGCGGTCACGTTGCGGTCGCGTCAGTACAGGTGTCGCAGCACTGGTTGTGGTCGTCGCGGTGTGAATTAACCACAATTTGTTCTTTAATATAAAAACGGTGATAACGATATCGGTATTGGCACCTTCCAAAACCGTTTTGTTGCGTCCGTTTTCGCGGCTGCGGACCGTTTTTTAAAACCCTGGGTGCATGCCTAAAACCTTGGTCCGCCCCGCGAAAAAAAGAGGACGGGGAGGGCATGCGAGCTTTGCACCCCTAAAGGCTAAACAATGCAAAAAGACTGTTAATGCCCCGCGCCGCAAAAATTGTGGGCAAAACGCCCGTTCGGCGGACCGGGCCCGTTTTGCCACCCCTTGGGTGGAAAACGTGCATGCCTGCCCCTTTTAGGCCCGCTCTGCAAATGCTCACAAAAATGGGGCTGGGTGGGCATAGTTAAGGGTGTCAGCCTAAAACCTTTGCCCGGCCCGTGAAAAAACCTTTGCTCTTTGCATCCCTTTAAAAAATGCAAACAAATTGTTAATACCCGTGCCTGCAAAACCCACAAAAAAACGGGGCGAGACGGACATATTAAAGGGTGCAGGCCTAAAACCTTGGCCACCCTGCAAAAAAGTGTGAGCAAAACAGACATATGCCTGGCGGGCCGGGCCTTTTTTGCCAGCCCCTGATCTGCCTACTTTGGACTTTACTTGGTGTATATAATTTATAATTTTTTGAGTTGACTTTTTTTTCTTCCTTTTTTGTTTAATTTATTAAATCTTGCACAAACACAATATGGTTTACTGTTGATGTCATAATATTATCTTTAGACTGTTAAATAATTGGATTTAGCTTGTTAATGAACTGATAATTTAAACAGCTCTTAATAGTGGCTATTCAAGGCAGAATTCTTCTGTATGTATGTCATGCAAAGCAAGTAGTGTGCTCGAATTTTTTTCATTTCTGATCTGTTTGGTTTGATTCTAAAATGACCATGGTTCTTTTGATAAAACCAGTTATTGCACTAACTTAGCTGCCAATTATTATAAGACTAAATAAAATTACATATAAATTAAAAACCTATCAAAGGTATCAATGTTGTCTGGTAATAGTTGTTATTTACTTACAGTGCAAGGTTATCGTGCCCTGTGGACTGGCATGGGCGCACAGCTTGCTCGTGATGTACCATTCTCTGCAATTTGTTGGTCGACACTTGAGCCAGTGAGTTTCTTTCCAAGTCCTAAGAATAAGGAGTTTTTTTCTTAATAATATTATATTCTTATGTCAACTATTATCTTTTGCAGACTAGAAGGAAACTTATTAGTTTGGTTGGAGGCGATGATGCCGGTATATTGAGTGTTCTTGGCGCAAATTTTTCAGCTGGTGTTGTTGCAGGAACTCTAGCGGCTGGAGCTACATGTCCACTAGATGTTGCAAAAACTCGAAGACAGATAGAGGTTTGTTTCATTAGGCTTTGAGTCAGTCTCATTTCCTGTATTATTTGTTCAAACTTTAAAGGCGGAGGTAGGGGTGGTGTAGAAGATTTTACTCTGCTCATTTTGCTTTTTTATTTCCCTTCTGGAAAATAGAGGTGGCAACTCTGTCATTCTTTTCAGATTTACAGTGACATTTGAACTAGAGACACATTTTATATGTATCCATTTGCACATTGGTTCTTACTCTCTTGTCCTGTTTTCTTCATAATGTTTTTTCAGATGGATCATGTCAGAGCTTTGAAGATGACTACTAGACAGACACTGATCGGGATTTGGAGGTATGCCATGATTTGGATTTTAGTTAGTTTTGATTTATCCATGTTTATGACAGAATTTAGCTGCTGAGTTTTTTATCTATATGGTCTGTTGCATCTATGTGTTATATAATTGATGATTTGCTTTATGCTCTTTGTATGTTTCTTCTCTGTCTCTTGTATTAATGTTATCTGGGCTGAGCATACATTGTTAGACTATCATCAATATATTGATATAACTGGTTATTGATCTGAACTGATTTTTGTTACCATCTATCTCTTAGAGACGGAGGCTTGAAAGGACTTTTCACTGGTTTTGGTCCGCGAGTTGGTCGAGCTGGCCCCTCTGTTGGAATTGTGGTTTCGTTTTATGAAGTTGTGAAGTATGTCTTAAATCACCGGAACGTAACAACGTGACCAAGTCAAATATTGTGGATACTTTTTTATTGCCGAAGCGGCTTTTTTGTCGAGAACCTATGGATACGTGCAGCTAGTTTTTCATGGAAATGAAGCTTTTTCAGTCCGTTTCTGCTCATGAACCAACGTTCATGCATAGGAAAAAATAACAAAAAATAACCAGTATAGGACAACCTCCAAATATAGGTTTTTGAACCTTTTTGTGTTTTCTCTGCATTTGATCAGCAGAGTTCAATTTTGTTACAATTGGATTTCTTCCCAAAGGCAAATTTTAAATAACGTTTTAGTTATTTGGGAAATATATACATGGGGATATTAAGTTATTAACCGAATTGTTGATTCTATATAGATTTTTTTTTGTTAAGCTATTATTCTGGGCACAAATTTGAAACGTGTGAATTTGAAGTTTCACTTGCAACTACTATTTCCATTCACTTCTTGAAAGATTTTCATAATGTTTTGTAGTTGTTCCTCTGAAGTTACAAATTTATAACGAATTCTTTTGGAAAAATAATAATGTCCAAGTAAATGATAGTTAAAATCAATCTTTAGATCTCAGACAAAATGATATATAATTTTTATATATTTAGATTTTTTTTATAGCATCAATGATTTAAGCAATTATTTTTTTATAAAATATTTGGTTTGTGTCTAGAAATGAACGAATTTTATCACAGAAACAAAACACAACAATCTATAGAGCAAGTCGTAAGTCAAAATGAGATTTTTATTGGAAGCACAAGATATACACAAAGCATTTCCCCAATTAAAATCTCACCCTTCTCTCTAATTATGACATGAATAAATGCTTTTCTTTGCCTAAGAAATTAAGCTTTGTTGCCATCTATGAACTTAGAGCAAATAAGAAATCCGTGATGAATAAATTAATGAATGATATAGGTGAGCACCAAAGCCAGAAGCATTAGTAAACATGCAACCGCTTGATCAATTGTAGTTCCTGCAAATTATAAACAGCAATTCATTAACAAATTAAAAAGGAGAATTTCATAATTATTATATGAATTAAACAAAATTGAAAAAAACATATATATTTACCATCGCTTGTAGGAGCTGGAGCAGGTGCAACAGATTGCGAAGAAACGACAGACATAAGAGTTGCATAAATGATGCAAAGGAAGACAAGCACCCTAAGTGAAGCCATATCTACGTTTTTTTTTCTCTCTCTCCTTCACTTTCTCTATTAATTTTTGAAGAGAAAGAAAGGAGAGAGAAATGAAAAGAATAATAAACCAGACTTGTGTTGGAGAAAGATGTTCGGGTGGTGAAAATGAAAGAGGTTTGTGGAGTTCCTTTTATAATGGCAATGCATGTTTTGATAGGAGCCAGCCATGTTGAGATGTTAAATCAAAGTGCACCCGCACGTTTAGGCAAATTCTTAATAATACACCACAAATCTAACAACAGCGATTCCAAGCTGTAGACAGATGCAAATCCAGAGTTTAAGTTATAAAAAAAAACATAAAGTGTGGCTGCTGGGATTCGAGCCCAGGTCTCCACGGCCACAACGTGGAATTCTTACCACTAAACTACAGCCACTTGATGTTACTAAGTTGAACTTAATAATAAATATAGATAAAATAGTGTTAGTACAAATTTATTCCCTCTTACAGTAATTCCTCTAATTTGGTATCTACCATTTAAATCATTTCAAAAGTTTCTATAATATGTACAATTTATTTCCTATTGCAATCCTTTCATATTCTTATATATGATTAGTGAATGATAAAATTCACTACTTAGCCTAAGGTTATAAAAATGGAAGTCTGATTTTTTAAGGTGAATGTCTATTAAAGATACCATAGAGGCAATTGTCTTTATGTGGATCTATAAAATAAGGATTATAGCTAATTTAATTATAAAAATGAATTAGAAATAATCTTACATAAGCCTGTATTGAAATAAAAATGCTATGATAGAAATAAACATTAAAAGGATTTTTTTCTACTTTAAATTTATAAGCCCTGTATTGATATTTCATATTAATTTTTTATTATATTTAAAATTGATATTGATAATGAGAATAATACAATATCATTTCTTTTTTCTCTCTTTATTTTCATCGACTCTAATTTTTTATTATATTGATTCTTATTAATTTTATAAAGAAAACGTATTTGTAATTTACTGTGAATACTTTTATTATTACAATTGCTTATACATAATAAGCTTGTATAAATTATTTTTATAGTAGAAGATAAAATTTTGGAGAAAATGAATGAAGCACTGATAATATAAATTAATTTTATATTGTCAATCAATCACGACTATGTATAAGAATATATAATTTTTTTTTTAATTTTTTTTTAATGACATGACAGACAATTGACTTACTATTGAATAATAATATAAAATTATTTTATACTGTCAGTATATATCTATTAAAGTTAAAAAATTAAATTATTTTTATATTAACTATAAATTGTTTTATCATAAACTATCTTGTAGAAGTTATAAAAGTAATTTAAAAAAATTCAAAAAATACTATAAGATGTTTTTATAACTTCTCCCAAACAATTTCATAAAATTTATGGAATTAGATAAATTCTAATAAGATAATCAAACATAAAAGCGATTCATTTTGCCATCCTTCTAATTCTAATTTATGAAGAGCTATTTGAAAACATAAAAATACCTTTTGGCATGCTTTTTTTAGCTTTTGAATTATAGAATCTAAAATTGTTAATATACACCCTGTTTAAAATTTGAAATTCATACTCACCATTTTTTTACTCCGGATCCTGCAATATGTTATATACACGAGGGGTATGTTTAGATTGGTAGTGAATATATTTTAACATAATTGAGTTTGATAGAATTGATTTTAATAAAATTGATTTATGTTTTATATAATTAAGTAGAAGTGAGTTGAACAATAAATTTAAATGTAAAAATCATTTAGAATCAATTCTGGAGATAAAAACTATAAATTGTAATTTCAAGTATAATCAATTCTGGAGACAGAATCAATTCTACCTTTGATAAAACAAACATCTCAAAATCACATAGAATCAATTATATACCTTTAGAATTGATTCCGAGTCTTCCAAAAGCCAATCCAAAATGGATTCTCATTGATAATCAAATCATAAATAGTTTTTAAATTCAAATGCAATATGACTATGAAACCTTCATCGTTGCATGTTTTAGCGTTTTTGTTCCATTCGCATCACACACAATAATGTAAGAGGATTGGCAGCACGTATCGAAGGAGAAACCACCTGTCTAAATGGTTCAATATGATTTGTGCAAGTTTGACAGCTGATGTCAGAATGACCCGTATTATAACTTTTCAGAAAGGGAATCGACCCACGAGTTCAACCTGTAACACCCTTCTAAACCCAATGAATAATTCACGAATAATTTAATAAATAAATCAGAGTAAAACACCAACAAGGGTGTCACATGCTTCATAAAACATCTTAAACAAAAACATCTCGCTCTGTAACACGGACTTTTCAATAATGATCTCATTTATCCTTTTCGGAACAACAACACATATTCTTCAAAATACTACGCACCAGAAATCATAATCACAACATAACTTTATTTATAATATCTTTCAAAATCATCATCAATTTACATCTTCTATAGTAATGATATTTCAACAACTTAAAATAATCAGAACTACTTATATATTTCTGTCAACAAAAGGAACACAATATACAAGTCAAACGTTTTCCAACCCGATGTTACATATCAGAGCAAGACCCTCTAAACTCAACGGAAATAAATCACGCTCCAAAGCTGTTCTTCCAAGCCTTTAGAAACTACTCATGATTACCTGCACGTTATCCACGTAGAGACAACATTCAAGCAGAAAGGGTGAGTAAATCATAATCATTTTAAAAGACATAAGGAAAAGACATAGCAGCATAAACCAAAAGTATCACAACATAAACTCAACACTATTATATTCCAAGTACATCAACAATCGTACAAATTCCACAACACAACACAACATCATCAATTCAAGAACTATGCAATGTCACATAAGATGTAGTGCAAGGACATAAACTCATGCATGTGGTACCAATTCATTTGATGTACACTGGGCTATTACCCTCTAAAGATCCCAATCATAGGATCGATTCCCACTTAGAACCGGAGCAAATCACATACATCCCAAATCTACACAATGGGATTGAGACCAAATCACTGGACCAACATCCTAAATCATCAAAACTAAATCACTAGACCAACGTCCTAAATCATCAAAATGGACCAAATTTGTTCCATGAATGCATGATACGCAACAACAAATATAAACGACCACATCTAGTCAATACACATCATCATTCATGTATTAATCAACATCATCACATAAACCTCATCATATATACTCATATAAGCAAAACATCATCATCATATCACCATGTCATCATATTAGACAGAAATCATCATCAGAATTATATCGTCATAATATCATAATCAACAAGCATCATTATCATATCATCTTAAACAAATATCATAATAATGTCATCATAACATCATAATCAACAAGCATCAACGTCATATCATCTTAAACAAACATCATAATAATATCATCATGACATCATAGTCACCAAGCACTATCGTCATATCATCTTAAACAAACATCATAATAATATCATCATAACATCATAATCAACAAGCATGAGTATAATTCAACACGGGGAACCTAACTCCATCCTAACTTAGATATTAGGGGAATACTTCTTTTATCCCATTTTACTCCATATAAGTAAAGTTCGTTATATTAACTACCCTAGGCTTCGAACGATATCTCAATCCAAGTTATAATCTCAAGTTATGGCTCTTTTGAGAATATATGATACAAACAATCAAATCTGGACATCATTGCCCGACGAAGATTCTTGCTCGCTCGGTGAAACTTCATCACTTTCGCATCGCATGGAGAAAGTGCGAGCGAAGCACTCCAATAACAATCCTCTTTTCTTCCCTTCATCGCCTCTAAGCTCTCCTGGCGATGACATAGAAAA